AGAAAACCTCTCTGAGTACAACCGGTTTATCGACAGTCGAGTTCTAATGGTGTGTACCGGACAATAATCGACGGTGCACATCATTATACCTCGACGTCAAACCTCCCGCTCAGATTGTCTTACGTGCCGGAAAAATACCAAGCCAAGTGGGCGCGAACCAAGGGTACTTATACCCTTGGTCCTTAAACGACCACCAACGCCAGGCATCTATCCGACTGAGCCAATCTGTCGGTAATATTAAAATTATTACATTACATATATTTTTATTTTTAATTTAAGGAAGGAAAGTTTGTATAAAAAATCATTTATTTACCATCATATATTTATCACGGAGTTGGATATATTTTATTTTACGGAGTTTTTTTGGATTAAAAAAGTAAAGAAATTTTTAATGATAAAATTCTTTAACAATAGGATAAAAGCCTTTCTGGTAAGTATAACAATTTTTTTTATGAAAGATTTATTATCTAATCTAAATTATAAAATTTTGATAAAAACTTTATTTTTAATTATTAAAAAATTTTTTTTTGATAAAATTAAAATTTATATTTTAAAAGTATGAACATTTTTTTGATTTTATTTAAAAGAAATTTTTTTTTATTTGAAAAGTAATTTTAATTAAAAGGGGACAGTGGGGCAAACCGGACCTCCTAACGGTTTTTTGACTCTTGTGACTAAACGAATCAACCGATTTCATTTTTTGATGGCTTGTTTAAAAGATCATTTAATTGCGCAACTATTTCTTAAAGACACCTATACTTTATCTTTTATTGTTTAGTTGCTGTGTTAACTTTAAAAAATTTTGCAAACGGTCCGGTCTGCCCCACCCCCTGGGGTAAACCGGACCGTTTGGTTTTTTATTTATAATATTGCATTTACATAATCTACAATAAAAAAAAACATAAAGAGTCATGTAAACAATGGTTGTAGTAATGAAAATAATAATACGGGATTAAATTTTAATTAAATAAATATTTTTTTTAATAAAAAAATAAAAATGTTCGTCATTATCAGAGAAACAATATTAAAGGGTCCAATTCTCATTAGAAGACAATTATTTTTCATTGTAAGTAAATATTTTAATGAAAGAAACATTTTATTTAAAAATAATTTTTATAAAACTTTAATTAAATGGAAATATCCTATGGCCGGTTTTCCCCACCGAAAACGGTCCGCTTTGCCCCACAGACCCATTTTAAGAATAAATGTTTGTCAAAAAGAAACGCTTTGCAAATTCATCAAAGTTTTTGGTGGTAAATATTCCTGAGGTGTGTACCTTCAAAACCTAAGACCTAATATTTGGAAACATTACACGATTTCCTCAGAATTTCCTTAAGAACAAATTCGTAAAAGTGTAGAAAAAACTAAAAAAAAACTTTTTTTTCCATCGTCGCACAAACGCAAGCTAAAACTGTCAGATTGAAAAAATAAGGTAGGATACTAAACATGGTTGTTTTAAAGGCCGTAGCAGTATAAGCATGTAAAAAGTGCCCCCTCTTGGATTGGGTCCATATTTAGGGAATAATTTTGACCTATTATGAGACTTATTTTCACCAAGTTTTAACTCGAAAAGAATTTTTGTTTTTGAGTTATACAATTTTTTTGAAAAATTCAAAAAAATTCAAAAAATTTTTTTCCCTCCAAAATGGTTGAACCGATTTTCATGAAAAAATTTTTTTTTGTACAATACAATATGAACAGTTAATAAAAAAAAATTTTCGACCAAATTCTAACAAAAAAAGTCAGTAAAAAGTCAGTAAAAAAAAATTTTTTTTAAATTTTTTTTGCACCACCGCCATTTTTTTTCTATAAAATAATAGTCATTTCAAGAGTAACATATATTTTTTGCAAGATGATTGAAAGGGTACTTCATACTTTAAAAAATAAAAAACCGATTTTTGGCCCCTAAATAGTACAGTTTCCTATATAAACGAGGGGCCAACATTTTTAAAAATTAAATTAAAAATTAATTAATACTTAAATTAAATTTCTAAAAAAGTTAATAATATATGCCTGTTTATTGTAAATATTGATTTTTTAGTATGTACAAGGTTTATTAAAAAAGTAAATGGACGTACACTACCGTCGGGAATTACCGGTACGGCTGCACGCGCACGGCCCAAAAACATGTCAATCACTGAGAAAACGATTTATTTGATTCAAACAAATTTTGTTTAAATCAAACTTAAAATATCTTTGCTATACAGTCAAACAAATTTCAAATAATTCAAACATAATTTTTGGTTCATTTATAGAAATAATATATTCAATTCAAACAAAATTTATGGTTGATTTTAAATTGTTTCTAATCAACATTTAAGTTCGGATCAAACATAACATTTTTAAACATATTCTTTGTTTAAACCAAAACAGAAAATATATTTGAATTAAACACAATTATTCAAACAAATATTATTTTTGAATCAAAGCAGTAGATATTTTCTATATATATTTGGATCTCACGAACCGATTAAGATTTTTAAACTCTTTGGTCTTAAGTTAAAGATAAAACTTAAACCTATGTAAATTTCAAATTTTTTCTACAATTATTAAAAAATATGCCAAAGTTGAAAAAACTTCAAAAAAAATTTTTTTTTTGCAAATTTTTTTGAAAAGTTGACTAAAAATCAATATTTACAACAAACAGGCATATATTATTAACTTTTTTAGAAATTTAATTTAAGTATTAATTAATTTTTAATGTAATTTTAAAAAATGTTGGCCCCTCGTTTATATAGAAAACTGTACTATTTAGGGGCCAAAAATCGGTTTTTTATTTTTTAAAGTATGAAGTACCCTTTCAATCATCTTGCAAAAAATATATGTTACTCTTGAAATGACTATTATTTTATAGAAAAAAAATGGCGGTGGTGCAAAAAAAATTTCAATAAAAAAAAATTTAAAAAAAATTTTTTTTACTGACTTTTTACTGACTTTTTTTGTTAGAATTTGGTCGAAAATTTTTTTTTATTAACTGTTCATATTGTATTGTACAAAAAAAAATTTTTTCATGAAAATCGGTTCAACCATTTTGAAGGAAAAAAAAATTTTTGAATTTTTTTGAATTTTTCAAAAAAATTGTATAACTCAAAAACAAAAATTTTTTTCGAGTTAAAACTTGGTGAAAATACGTCTCATAATAGGTCAAAATTATTCCCTAAATATGGACCCAATCCAAGAGGGGGCACTTTTTACATGCTTATACTGCTATGGCCTTTGTAAACAATACTTTTGACAATTTCGCCATTTCGGAAATATTGAGAGGGGTCCGGTTTACCCACCGGTCTGCTTTGCCCCACTCTTCCCTAATATTAATTTTAAAAAAATTAAAATTATTAAAACTGTTTTATGAATTTTTCAAATTAACTTCATTATTATATTTTTTATTGTAAAAAAATAATTACTAGGAAAATTGGTTTTTTAAAAATGTAATAACAATAATAATACATGAAAAGCTTATTTAAATTTCTTTAAAGAAGATGTTTATTATTTCTTTCATGATTGATAACAAAACGATGACTCCAGAGTAGACATATTTATTTTGTTTTTTTTTAAAGAAAATAAATTTCGTGTTTACAATAATAATGATAATGAATTTAAATTTGAATATAGAATGAATTTCTTTGATAATAATATTATTATATTACCTATATAATTATAAAACATTTAACATGTCCTTAAAATAAAACTAAGAAGCACTTAAAGTTGTGCGTTCAAAATAGTAGTTTTCTTTGTAAATAAAAGAATTAAAACTAAGAAGCACTTAAAGCTGTGCATTTAAAATAGTTGTTTCTTTAAAAATCAAAAAAAAATAAAAACTAAGAAGCACTTAATGTTGTGCGTACAAAAAATAGTTTTTTCTTTATAAAAATAAAAAATGTTTTGAAAAATAAAAATAATAATACTGATCCATACTGTTTTATTAAGTCCACTTAATCGGAGTCTTTTGGCATCTGAAATCTAAAATAAAAAAATAAAAAATAATTAATTTTTTTTTAATAATAAGAGGCGAAATTTTTAAAAAATATTTTAATATTATTTTTTAAAAATAATTAATAAATAATTATTAATAAAACTTTTAAGAAATTAGATAAATTAATGAGTAGTAGAGCTAGGAGACTTCTGGACCACTTACCTACAGTCGGTAAGGTAGATTTCTTAATTTCATACTTTCAAGTGGCTTAGAGGGGGTGATCTACCTTACCGACCGAGTTTTAGTACCGGCTGCCACCGCTAGATGGCGCCACTGAATTTTTGCTCAACTTAAAAGCCGTTGGTGGGGTATTAAATTTTTTTTTCAAAGTTTCAAGTGGCTTAGAAGGGGTGTTCTGCATTACCGACCTTGATGATAATACTGGTATAAAAATGTCGATAAATTATCGACTGTAGATAAGTTATCAACCGATGGTAAACATTACTATCAGTCGGTAATGCAGATTTCTTACATAAATTTTGGTCCAGTCGGTACGTCAGGGTTCTGCATTACCGACAGTTGGTCTTATTTGATTATGATAACTTCAAGTTATCCCAGTAGTTGGCGTTTGCAATATTGTGGTAGGAGAGTTGCGCGCGACTATGGAGTAGTGGGGGTCTACCGGAGTGGGGCGCTCAGTATAGTGGGGACTGGTGTATAAGTTACGGAGCGCGAGCCAGGAGCATCAGTGGCTTCTTTTCAGGAGCAACAGCAACAGCAGTTTACAGTTTAGAGTCGTTTTCAGTGTTTCCAGAGTGCTTTTTAGTGTTTCCAGAGTGCTTTTCATAATTATTTTTTATTTTTTATCAATTTCAGGTTTTTAGGTGCTTTTTTTTTGGTTTTTTTTGGTGGTGGATTTTCTTTTACAGGGTTTTTTTATTTTTGTTTTATTCCTTTTATTCTTTTAGCTTTAGGTTTTTTTTTATTTTTGTTTTATCCCATTTATTCTTTTAGCTTTAGGTTTTTTTTATTTTTATTTTAGTTTTATTCCTTTTTTTATACTTAGGTTTTTAGGCTTAGGTTCAACATGTCGAAGATCAAAACAGTGAAAAAAAAATCGCGACATCGAATGAGTGTGGATGAGTACAACGAATTGTGTCGTGAGTCAGACAACTTAATCAACATCGCTGAACGTCAACTCATCACCACAATGGGAATGACAGGTGAGGATAAACTTATTAGTGCATTCGAATGGCATAACAAGTGTCAACATAACAAAAATATTTTGCAATCATTTTTAAGAAATTCTGATTCTTTGCCTTATCAGAAATCAAGATGTTTAAACCTAACTCAAAAGTTGGAATACTTGTTATGCAATTTTAATGCTTTAATGAAACGTGGTGCAGGTGTACAAATGGAGAATGAAAGAATGAAGTGGGTTGATTTTGATAAGGCATTTGATGGTCGTTTACAGACTAGTGCTATTTTAAATATTGACTACATTGACGTTAACGAGTTTCTTGATGATGCCTTTGTTTTGTTTGAATTTAACATACGAAAAGCTTTAGAAAAATATGGGCCGCTAAAAGTGTATACTGTGTTGGGCGCGAAGTTTATAAAAGAGTCGATAAACGGAAAGGAAGAAATGTCTGATCTTAAGACATTTATCGCGAAAACGGGTGAAATATTTGTAACAACCCACTTAGATGAGTGGTACAATGTTAATGTTAAACAAATAACTTTGAGAAGAATGGAAGAATTCCAACAGAAAGAATCGAATTGGAGACTTCATTCTATTCAAAGATTAGAGGTTAACATTAACAGTTATAATCCCATGCATGCTGGTTCATATATCGATTTACCACCTTCCATTAAAACAAAACACTCTTGCATTAATGTTCAGAATGCTGATCAGCAATGCTTTAAATGGTCAATTTTGTCAGCTTTACATCCAGTTGAAAATCATGCAGACCGAGTTTCAAAATATAAGTGTTATGAAGATGAGCTTAATTTCACTGGAATTCAGTTTCCTGTTGCTCTCAAAGATGTTTCAAAATTTGAGGTACAGAACAACATTTCAGTGAATGTGTATGGACTCATCAAGAGAGATGAAAAGTTTACGGTTGCTCCATTACATTTGTCATTGCAAAAGAAGGTTATTCATGTAAATCTTCTTCGAGTTGAAGACCACTACATTGATGAAAGTTTTAAGAGTGAGGAGGAAGAGGAGGAGGACGATCAAAAAATCATCTCTTTCAACTACCATTATGTGTACATTAAAGATTTATCCAGACTTGTCAGCACTCAATTGTCAGGTCATAGGGGTAAAAAGCACATCTGTGATCGTTGCCTGCATTATTTTAGAGAAGAACTTAAACTAACTTACCATGAAGAGATCTGTCAAAAGATGAACGTTACGAGTATTAAGCTTCCTGAACCAGGGAAAAATTTCGTTGAATTTAAAAATTACCAAAACAAGGAACGTGTGCCATTCATCATTTATGCAGACTGTGAAAGTATCCTGATTCCTGCGGAAGCACCACAGCAACCTAGTAATACTGAGATTTTTCAAAATCACAAAACTCTCAGTATTGGCTATTATTTAAAGTGTGGTTTTGACAACTCCTTGTCCATATATAAAGCATCTCCAAGAGATGAAGAAAATCCGGCTAAATGGTTTTCAACTGAATTAAAGAATGTGGCTGACAATCTTGACAATTTATTTAAGAATCCTGTACCAATGGAAGTGTTAAGTCGACAGCAACTAGATGATTTTAGATATGCCAGTAAATGTCATATTTGTAGGAATAAAATCAAGCCTGGGGATGTAAAAGTACGAGACCACTGTCATCTAACAGGGAAGTATCGAGGACCCGCGCATCAAGATTGCAATATTAATTATCATGAATCGCAAATAATACCTGTCGTTTTTCATAACCTTAGCGGGTATGACGCACATTTTATTATCGAAGCTATTGCTACAGAATTTGAGGGTGATGTTTGTTTGCTTCCTATTAACAAAGAAAAGTATATCGGTTTCACCAAATATGTGAAAGGTAGTTACATCAAGTTCCGCTTTATCGATTCTTTTAAATTCATGGCATCATCATTGGACAAGTTAGCATCCTACCTCGACGAATATGAAATTGTAAACACAGTTTTTTCTAATTACAGTGCTGATAAAATCAAATTGTTAACGCGAAAAGGAGTTTTTCCTTACGAGTATATTGACTCAAAGGAAAAACTTGATGAAATTGAGTTACCACCAAAAGAAAAATTTTATAGCACTTTAAACGACTCAAATGTCTCTGATGAGGATTATGCACATGCGAAAAATGTGTGGACTGAGTTTGATTGTCAAAATTTGGGTGATTATGTGTACCTGTATATGCAAACCGATATTTTGTTACTCGCGGACATTTTTGAAAATTTTAGAAATCAATGTTTAATCGCGTACGGTCTCGATCCAGCTCATTACTATACGACACCGGGATTGACATGGGATGCCATGTTAAAGTATACGAATATAAGATTAGAGCTCCTCACTGACATCGATATGGTAATGTTTGTCGAACGCGGAATTAGAGGTGGAGTAAGTCAATGCACCAATCGGTATGCTAAAGCTAATAATCATTATATGAAGGAATATAATGAAAGTGAGGGGACATCTTATATCGTATACTTTGATGCAAATAACCTCTACGGTTGGGCAATGATCCAGTCACTTCCCTATGGTGGCTTCGAGTGGATAGAAAATTTTGACAATAGCTTTGATTTCAACGTCTCTGATGACGATGCGATTGGCTATATTTTAGAAGTTGATTTGGATTACCCTGATGATTTGCATGATAAGCATAGTGATTTTCCTTTTTGCCCTGAACGCTCGAAGCCACCTGGATCTAAAGTGGAAAAGCTCCTAACTACCCTCCTACCAAAGAGAAAGCACGTTTTCCATTATCGCGCGTTAAAACAAGCTTTGGCGAATGGTCTTGTATTAGTAAAAATTCATCGTGTATTGAAATTTAAACAATCCACGTGGTTAAAATCATATATTGATTTTAATACGACTCGAAGAACAAGTGCAAGCAATGAATTTGAAAAGAATTTATTTAAATTAATGAACAACGCGGTATTTGGTAAGACAATGGAGAACGTGCGAAAACATGTCGATATTAAACTCGTTACAAAGTGGGAGGGTAGATATGGAGCTGAAGCTTTAATCGCGAAACCTAACTTCCACAGCAGAACCATTTTTAATCCGAATTTGGTTGCCGTGGAACTTAGAAAAATGGAGGTATTATTAAACAAGCCACTTTATGTGGGTTTAACTGTCTTGGATGTTTCAAAAACGTTGATCTATGATTTCCATTATGATTACATGTTAAAAAAATATGACGCGAAAAATTTAAAACTATTGTACACCGACACTGATAGCCTCATCTACGAAATCAGATGCTCCGACATTTATGCAGACATGAAAGCAGATATTGATAAATTCGATACGTCAGATTATCCGGTTAATAACGTGTACGGTATTCCGCAAGCCAACAAAAAAGTTTTAGGATTGATGAAAGATGAGTGCAGTGGAAAAATCGTGACCGAATTTGTTGGCTTGCGGAGCAAGATGTACAGTGTGCGAGTTGAAAACAAAGATCTTATAAAAAAAGCTAAAGGTGTGAAAGCTGTAGTTGTTAAGAAGGACATAGACTTTGATGATTATGTGTATTGTTTAAAAAATGTAAAAATTCAATCTAGAACACAATATTGTATCAGATCAAACCTTCACAATGTTCATACTTTAAAACAAACAAAAATTGCTCTGAGTCCTTTCGATGATAAAAGATTTTTGTTAGCCAACAGCACCGACACCCTAGCATGGGGGCATTGTAAAATTGCAGAAATTATGGAAGTTGATGAAGCATTGTAAAAAAAAGAGAGAAAGGAATTGATTGTTTGAATAAAAGATGTTCATTTTATTTTATGTCTTCTTTATTTTAAATAAACCTTAATCTAGTTACATGGATTTATTTTAACTTTTTAAACTTATCTTAACATTACTTTAACTTATTTTAACTTTTCTTAACATTACTTTAACTTATTTTAACTATACTTTAACTTTTCTTTAACGTTACTTTAACTTTATTTTAACGTTAATTTAACTATATTACATATCAGATTTTTTATCCAACTATTGTGTGAGCTATCAAATCCAAGCCATTTTACATAGACATCATTACCACGAGTTTTCAGGACTTTCTCAACAAGATAAACATCTGGATACTGGACTTTCAGCAGTTCTTCCTCATAGAAACCACCTTCGATGGGTTGATTTTGGTAATCTTTCAGCTTGTATGTAACTGGTTTTGTTGATTTGACTTAGTCCACAGTGAATATTTCCGTTGTCCAGTTGGGGGTATATCCTTTTTCGAAAATATTTTTAAATTTGCTGACTCGAACTCTATCTCCTCTTTTGAATTTTGATTTTTTCAGCGGAATTTTTCGTAGTTTACGGATACGTCTCAGCAGTTCTCTTGTATCTTCTACGGTAACATCTTTGGGTTTCATACCAATAGTACGATGCTTTTTATTATTGTACTTTGATATGAGCGTAGGTAAAAGATTTATCCATTTGTAATTGCCTTGTAAGCTAAATTCAGGCCACATCATATTTTTCAGAGTGCGGTTAAATCTTTCAACAATTGAGGCTTTTAAATTACTATAGGTAGAATAGAGATTAATGTTAAATTCTTGCATTAAACTCTTAAATTCAGAATTGTAAAATTCTTTGCCTCTATCAGTGTGCAAATTTTTTGGAATTCTGCCTTGTTTTAGAATAGTTTTCATGGCTAGAGAAATGTCCTTTCCATTCTTACTCTTTACAGCTATAGCCCAGGCATATTTGGAAAATATGTCTATAACTGTGAGCATGTATTTGAAACCTTTATTAGAATAAGAATAAGGTATCATTTCAACCAAATCTGCTTGCCAGGTTTCATCGATGCCACGCATTTAAACTTTTCGACGAGGATAATTTTTTCTAGCCTGTCTATGCAACTCTTTAACAACAGTTAACTTTTCATTGTCCATTTTCAAGGTTTGTTAAACGTGAATCTAATTTAGCGATGTATTTAGCGTTTTGAAAAGGTAATTCAAGTTGTAAATCAGTTTCAATCTGCTTAAGTTTTTCGTTAATTCTTTCCTCGATAGATTGTATAAGAATATTCAAGTCATCAATAGCTGATCTTGAAGATGATGTAACTGCAAAGACAGTTTTTATTTCGTTTTTAACAATTTGTTTTACTTGTCTTAAATTTACTGCGTCGTGTTGCTCTTCAGCGTCTTGCACGTTGCAAAGTCTTTTGTTATCAATATCGTATTGTCCATTTGGAGTAATTTTAAAACCAATTCCAGAAGGTCCAGGTTGTCCACGACTTGCAGTAGGCCGTGACAAAGGATGTCCAAACACATCAATGCTCATTTTAATACTAAGCTTTATTTGCTTGAACTCTTCTAATATATAATGCGAGCTTCACGTAGTTCTTCAATAATTGACATAATTTCATTATTGTGACTCGGATTTCCAGCTTGCTGTGATGCTACAAGCAGACGTAATCGGTCAACTAGTTCATTAGGATCATCCCAATAAATGTAGTCTGGGTTAAATTGTTTCTTTGTAATCATAAATTGAGGTAATTTATTTCCAAGCTTCTTCTTCTTCTTCCCTTTAAAAATACCTCTACCCTTTTTTGGTGTACTCTTAAAAAGTTTTGCAATTATATCAATGTATTTAGAACTCCTGTTTATGTTGACAGGTTCACTGGAACTATAATTTTTCCGATGTGCATTTGTAGCTACAAGAATTTCTTTATAATTTTCTAAATCATCTGGACTTATTAATTCTTGTTTAGCTCTTTGTTTAAATAAGAGTTCAATCAACCCAGTAGTTTTTAAATATTTTTTCTTTCCAGCAAGTCGAATATGAGGACCTTCTAAATCAACTGGTGTATCTCCAATCATAAAAGTACCATTAGGCAGCTTACGTACTCCATAAACCATGTCTAAAAAAGTTTTTCTGTTTTTATTCAATAATGTAATAAATTTATTTGTCAAATTTTCATAATTAAGATCTTCATCTGATGCTTTTTCAACATTAGTACTCTTATCAAATAGAGTGTCATTGAGTAGTGTTTTATCACATTCCTCCTCCTCATCAACTGCAGTAGAGAAAGAAAAATCATTTTCCTCTTTTTTTACTTTTTCTTTCTTAACATTTTTGAAAGGTATGTCAGTGACTTTAACTAACTTTTCAAGAGGTGTTACTATAGGTTGAAGAGTTTCTTTTAAAACTGTTTCTGCAGCCTCTTTACCCATTTTAAGGAAACGATGTTTTCGCCTAATAGCATCACTTGCTTTTGCTATTTGACGAAGTGTTTCTTGCTCTTTTCTATACATGTTTTCTTTGTAACAAGATGAACTATACTAATTAAAAATTCAGTAAACTTCTAGTATTTATAGTGTAATGAAGCAATCAAATCCTCTTCTATATCTTCCCTCATTAAAATTACTGTCCTTATCAATAACAACAAATCCATATTTATCAGATTTCCAACATTCTGAACATAAATCGCGAAATTGAGTATAACTCATATCAGTATTAACATGATCTTCATAAACATGTTTCAGATTCTTTTCATCTTGTCTGAATAGAACCAATAAATTTACATTATCTCGAACTAGATGTTTTGGAATACGAGCGTACGTTTGACACAAATAGAAACTGTCAACGTTTACATGTCTACCCATACAAAAGAAAGCTCTAACATTATCTTGCTTTTCACAAGCAATGTCATCAAAAATGAATATTGAATTTGGTTTAGCGTCTTTTGGAGATACTACTTCTTCATGTTCACTAAATGGAAAATACTCAACACCATTCACGTTACCGATGACATTTTCCAAAAATTTATATTTTGGCTGCTGTAGAGATTTAGAGTAGAGGTAAATATTTTCAAAACTCAGACCATTTGGATGTATTATTAGGGAAAGAAGAGCATTTGTTTTACCACAATTTGAGGGACCACAGAAAACAGCTCGAATGCTGTCTGAAAACAGACTACCATGACGTTTAATCTTTTTTTCGTTTGTTTCTATATCTATACTAGTTATTGGCAGCATGACAGGTTGTTTCGTGAACTGCATCTTGACAGTAACTACCCTAAAATGTATAAATACCTAGCTTATATAGTAATTTTGTCAGTTTCACGACAACCATTGTAGAGTGAAGAATGATTCTGCATAAGGATGTGAAAAAAGAACGCTATCAAGGAAAAGGTTTAATCAATCGTATAATCAATAGTTTACCGTTCGAGTTACATTTGCCAGGTTACCAATTCTGTGGGCCTGGTACAAAGTTAGCAAAGCGTTTGTCTCGAGGTGATCAAGGAATTAATCCATTAGACGCTGCTTGTAAGCAACACGACATTGCTTATTCGGAAAATCGAGAAAATATTCAAGCTAGAAACGAAGCAGATAAAATATTAGCTAAGAAAGCGTGGGAACGTGTTACAGCTAAAAATTCTAGTGTGAGTGAACGAGCAGCTGCTTTAGCTATTTCCGGAACCATGAAAACTAAATCTAAATTAGGTATGGGGATGAAAAGAAGGAGAAAATCATCCATAAGAAAGAAAAAAAGAAGAACAATATGTAAGAAGAAAAGAACAGCACTAAGGAAAATTGTCGATGCTGCGCGAAAAAGTATGGTTCCTAGTAATAATGCTGAAGAATCAATTCGAGCAGCTATGATTGGTGCACGAAAAGCAATAAAAAGTGTTGGTGGTAAATCTAAAATTTTATCACCTCGAATTCTTCCTGTACCTACTAAAGTAGGTGGAATTCTACCGCTTGTTCCAATTTTTGCTGGACTTAGTGCTTTAGGAGCTCTTGCTGGAGGAGCTTCAGGAATAGCAAGGGCTGTTAATAAGGCTAAAACAGCTAGTGAACAGCTTTCAGAAGCTCAGCGTCATAATAAAGCAATGGAAGCTATATCGCTTGGAAAAGGATTACACCTTAAACCTTATCGGCAAGGACTTGGTCTCCATCTTAAACCTTACACTCAAGGAAAAGGAATTGGAAAACGAAAGAAACGAGCACCGAGAAAGAAAAAACGAGCATCAAGGAAGAAGAGAATAACAAGAAGGAAAAAAACTTGTTTTGAAGCTACCTCATCGTCCATTAACTGACTTTGATTTGTTGAGGTATGCCAAAACTATAAAAATGCCATATTTTCGTGGTGTTTTTATGCGAAATGAACTACCTATTAGTGGTCCTCACAAGTGTGAATCAGGAATAATTAATCTTGATAATAAAGAAGGTGCTGGAACACATTGGGTAGCATATAAAAAATTTAGAAATGAAACAATGTATTTTGATAGTTTTGGTAACCTTGCTCCTCCAACAGATCTTGTCATTTATCTAGGTGATGGTAGCTTAATAAAATATAATCATGAAAGATTTCAAAATTATGACAACATTTGTGTGTGGGCACTTGTGTCTTAAATTTTTATGTAATCAACTAAATATTAAGAGTAGCTTTAACCTATATAAAAGTGTGTAACTATTGTAAGCTTTCAGTATAAAATCTGATAGCAAGATGAGTGATTCATTTACTTTAACGTTAACGGGAAATTCTTCAGTTCTTGAAGCTGAATATTTCCCCCCAATAGAACTAAATTCAAATAAAAGTTATGTACTTGGTCTTGTTGAATTGTTGACTTTTAATTCAATTCCTAATATCGATAGAGGAAATAATAAGTTTTACATTGGAAATCAAATAATTCATATTGCAACTGGAAGTTATGAAATTAAAGACATTGAATCTTATATACAAAATTCTGTAGAAATCGGAACTGTTATTAGTATAAAACCGAATAATAATACATTGCGCAGTGTAGTTAAATCAAATTTGCCAATTGATTTTAAACCTATTGACTCGATTGGTAAATTGTTGGGATTTACATCGCAGCATCTAGCACCTCATAGAGCACATACTTCTGATTTACCTGTAGCTATTCTAAAGGTCAATTCAGTTAGAATTGAGTGTAATATAACATCTGGAGCATACATAAATAATCAAAAAGTCCACACTATCCATGAATTTTTTCCAAGCGTCCCACCAGGATATAAGATTGTGGAAGTGCCTGCACACGTCATTTATCTTCCGATTTCCACCAAGACAATACAAAATATACAGCTGCGAATTGTCGACCAGGATGGTGATTTAATAAATTTTAGAGGAGAAACTATAACTATTCGATTGCATATAAAGTCTTTGTAATGGGAATTGTTTATAATCAAAGAGCTGTTGTTGGTGGAAACTATAAAAGTCAGCCAACATGCAAGAGTCAAATCAGTCTAAAGTCATCTTACAAGGTGTTAACACCACAGAATCGTCTCTTTCTTCAAGAACTAGGCCTGAAATTTCAAGGAAAGAAAAAACGAAAACAAGACAATTAATCTACATATTTTGTGGGTGCTGTTGCAACAAAAATGGACGAACTTCTCAATATTCCAGCAGCAGTGAATTTTGATGAGTCTATAGCTCATTATGAAATTCATGCTCATCAACCGTATGCTTCTTCATCTTTTAACAATAGTGATGAAATTCGAATCGCAGTACAACATCAAGACTTGTGCATTTTACCTAGTAAAAGTTCATTACATATTTTTGGCAGATTAGCTAAAAATGATGGAAATACTCTTACGGAAAACGTGCATTTAAGTAATAATGCTGTATGTTTTTTGTTTGATGAAATTCGCTATGAACTAAATGGAATTGAAATAGATCGATGCAAAAACGTTGGACATACTACAATTATGAAAAATTATGTCTCGCAAACTCCTACACAGTTAAATTTTATTGAAAATGCTGGGTATTCAAGAATGGCAGCTGATGCAAGACTTGTATTGGAAAATGGCTATTTTGATGTCACTATACCACTCAGCATGATTTTTGGTTTTGCCGAAGATTATAAAAAAATCATTATGAACGCTAAACATGAACTTATCTTAACAAGAGCACGTTCTGACGTGAATGCCGTAATTCAAACAGGACAAGGAGGTGATGAAGAATTTAAAATTTTCATCAATAAACTTGAATGGATGGTTCCATACGTTCTACCTGCAGATAATAATAAAATAAAACTATTAAAATTTATTGAAAAAGATCCATTAATTTCAATAAGCTTCAGATCTTGGGAAATGTATGAATATCCTCTAATTCCTACAAGTTCAAAAGTTTTGTGGCAAATTAAAACATCAACACAATTAGAGAAACCACGCTATGTTATTGTTGGATTTCAAACAGCGAGAAAAGATAAACGTAAAAAATATGCTTGTCATTTTGATCATTGTAATATTACAAACGTTAAACTCTTTTTAAATTCACAATATTATCCATATGGAAATTTAAATCTAAATTTTGATCAAAATCAGTACTCTCTACTTTATGAAATGTACGCTAATTTTCAATCATCCTATTATGGTAAAGATTCAAAACCTATTTTAACAAAAGATATTTTTAAAAGTCTGTTTCCTCTAATTGTTATTGATTGTTCTAAACAAAATGAGTTTCTAAAACAAGCGTCAGTTGATGTGCGTTTAGAATTTGAAGCAGGAATCAACATGCCGGCTAAAACTACTGCCTATTGCTTAATCATCCATGACCGCGTCATACAATATAAACCAATCAGCGGTGTTGTCAAGAAACTGTTGTAGTGGGGATAATGTAAGGGGGGGTGATTGGGTATAAAAACAGCTGCTTTCAGTCAGAATTTCAGTTTTATTTCATAATGGAGTTTATTGTAGATGTACAAAGTTTCAAAAAACCCAATAACGAATTTGTCTTCAAAGAGTTGGCGATACTTCCTCTACAGTTAGATGCTCAACCACTCGTCTTCCTGTTTGAACCTCCTTGTGCCTGGAATACATTGCCTGGACGCTACAAAAGTGAAAATCGTTGGTTAACGCATAATTACCATGGAATTGATTGGCCAGCTGGAGATGTTCCATATGATGAACTTCCTTCACTTCTACAAGGAATACTACGTGGTGCTAGTGCTATCTATGTTAAAGGTTTAGAAAAAAAGACTTGGTTGGAGAAATATTTGTTGAATGTAGAAAATTTAGAAGATTTTAACTGTCCATCTTTGAAAAAACTTGACACTAAATTGTCAACCATTTGTAAACATCATACAATTCACTGTGACAATTGTGCTGCGAAAAATGTAAAAATTCTTCAAGAATGGTTCCTAGAGCCTTCAAACCGCTATATAAGTGCTGCTGTAAAAAGAATTGATGAAGTTGATTCTACATTTACTACTTTACAATCATTCTATGAAAATTGTGAAACTTTTTTGTAAAACAAGAATAGTTTAAAAATAAACATGAACAATTTAAAATAATAATAATAATACAACTGTCTCTTGCATTATTTTAAAAACCTTTTCCTTGAGTTTTTTTTTAAATTTTTACTATTTCTGAAAATAAAACTTAAAACTAATTCCTGAAAATTAACATGAATAGGAAGAAAATAATTTTAAAACCAATTTATAGATAAATATATATTTTTATTATTAATGTGAAAATTTTATATTTTATAAATATCAATATTTAAAAAAATCCACAATAATTTAATGAAATTTAAATTCCAAAGCGTTGTACGTTCCACCCAAGTACTTCATGTACAACTTGTTTGAACTGGCAGCTTCTTGCATCATCTCCAGGGTATTTGGCTCTTCATCAAACAGTTTCACGAATCTTGCAGGTAAAAAAGTGATAAACTCGTTATCCACTTCTGTCATAATCCTGGATCCAAATCGTGTCTGCACTTTTGTAAGTTTGTTGATCATGTAGCGACCCTTTGGAGCAATTCGGAAAGAGGCTTTGTTGGAAGGGTAGCTTCCATGCGTCCAACAGCATTAACTTTTTCTAAATCCATTTTATTTTCTTTTGGTTAAGTAGACAAATCTAAAACAGAAATGACAGAGAAAATACAAATTAAAAAAAGATTCTTCATAACATAATTTAATTCTAAAATAAAATCTGTAAGGAAACCTGAAAATAAATGTTGGAAAATAAAAAAAATTGAAAATAAAATCTATAAGGAAACCTGAAAATAAATGTTGGAAAATAAAAAAAAAATGAAAATAAAATCTGTAAGGAAACCTGAAAATAAATGTTGGAAAATAAAAAAAAATGCAAATAAAATCTATAAGGAGACCTTAAAATAAATCTTGGAAATAAAAAAATTAAAAATAAAATCTGTAAGGAAACCTGAAAATAAATGTTGGAAAATAAAAAAAATGAAAATAAAATCTGTAAGGAAACCTGAAAATAAATGTTGGAAAATAAAAAAAAATGAAAATAAAATCTATAAGGAAACCTTAAAATAAATCTTGGAAATAAAAAAATTAAAAATAAAATCTGTAAGGAAACCTGAAAATAAATGTTGGAAAATAAAAAAAATGAAAATAAAATCTGTAAGGAAACCTGAAAATAAATGTTGGAAAATAAAAAAAATTGAAAATATAATCTATAAGGAAACCTGAAAATAAATCTTGGAAATAAAAAAAATTAAAAATACTATCTATAAGGAAACCTGAAAAAAATGAAAATATAATCTATAAGGAAACCTGAAAAAAATCTTAGAAAATAAAAAAAACAAAATCTGGAACTAAAAGTGATGCTAAAAGCTCATACTTACTGTTACCTGGGGATCTGAACGACAGGAAATGACGCTCGTAGTCCATGAGTTGCCTTATATCCACAGAACCCCCACTACTTTCACCCCACCACTGCAATGAGTATGCGAACTTCTCTCTCTCTATCATTATCGCTAAAATGCGCACACAGTTTCTATCTTGCTAATATAAACACACCATTTTTAAAATTTATATTATTAGGTCCTGTTATTCAACGCTAATATTAAAAATAATTTTAGGCAAAATAATTATTTGTATGACTTTATTTTTTCTCATTGTCATTAAGTGAAGATACATTTGGTGTTATTATCACCACCTGAAAAATAAAATTATTATTATTATTAATGATTGAAAAGATTATTAATTATTAATTATTAATATTATTATAAAAAATTATTAACCTGTGTAATAACAATAATCAGACTAACAATAAGATTAACTTCATTGTCCTCGTCATCATCTGAGTCATCTGAGTCATCATCTGAGTCATCATTGTCGTCGTCATCAGAGCCCTCACTATCATACTCTTGATTATCAGAGTTCTCATCAAATTCATCTTCACTTTCAAAATAAAAAAAAAATGTTCTTTCTGCCCCATCATTATTGTCATCGTCATCGTCATAAGATGAATAGGAATAAGATTTTTCTATTCTATCTGAAAAAACATGACTTTTTGATTAAATTTTTCTAAAATAAAATAGACAATAATAGATCACATGAGAAGATAAAATGGAAAAATATATGAAAATTTCGAAAAATATAAAAAGAAAAAAAATAAACTAAAAGATGTTTGGAAATACAATAGTTATAAAACCTGGAAAATAAATACTGAAATAATTTTTAAAAAATTACTTAAAATACAAAAATTCTTGAAATTCAATATTAAAAAATATGAAAATAATAATAATAATAAAAATGTTTGCAAACAACTAGTTGAAAATAAAATATCTGTAAAATAAACTTTGGCAAAAAAAAATGTTTAATAATATGACAAAAACCTGTAATTAATTAACTGAAATTTTGGAAGAAAAAAGTAATACAGTAATAATAACAAAAAAAAACTATTGAAAATAATCGAATTCTGAAAATAATAAATAAAATACTGATAATATCTAAACGCAGAAACAAGTCTAAAATACAAACATACAAAAAAAACAACCTGTAAAATACTGATAATATCTAAACACAGAAACAAGTCTAAAATACAAACATAAAAAAAACAACCTGTAAAATACTGATAATATCTAAACAAAGAAACAAGTCTAAAATACAAACATAAAAAAAACAACCTGTAAAATACTGATAATATCTAAACAAAGAAACAAGTCTAAAATACAAACATAAAAAAAACAACCTGTAAAATACTGACAAAAGGAATTTCGAAGATATCTAAACGCAGAAACAAGTCTAAAATACAAACATAAAAAAAAACAACCTGTAAAATACTGATAATATCTAAACGCAGAAACAAGTCTAAAATACAAACATACAAAAAAAACAACCTGTAAAATACTGATAATATCTAAACAAAGAAACAAGTCTAAAATACAAACATAAAAAAAAAACAACCTGTAAAATACTGATAATATCTAAACGCAGAAACAAGTCTTAAATACAAACATAAAAAAAACAACCTGTAAAATACTGATAATATCTAAACAAAGAAACAAGTCTAAAATACAAACATAAAAAAAAAATAACCTGTAAAATACTGATAATATCTAAACGCAGAAACAAGTCTAAAATACAAACATTAAAAAAAAACCTGTAAAATACTGATAATATCTAAACGCAGAAACAAGTCTAAAATACAAACATAAAAAAACAACCTGTAAAATACTGATAATATCTAAACGCAGAAACAAGTCTAAAATACAAACATAAAAAAACAACCTGTAAAATACTGAAAAAAAAGGAATTTTGAAGATATCTAAACGCAGAAACAATCTGAAATACAAACATAAAAAAACAAAAACCTGTAAAATACTGAAAAAAGGAATTTTGAAGATATCTAAACGCAGAAACAATCTGAAATACAAACATAAAAAACAACAACCTGTATAATACTGAAAAAAAGGAATTTTGAAGATATCTAAACGCAGAAACAATCTGAAATACAAACATAAAAAAACAACAACCTGTAAAATACTGAAAAAAGGAATTACTTACTGCTTTTTTAACACCTCTAAGACTGGTATGAACTGTTCTTCCACACTGCTTCAAGCATGTGTCGTTCCTCCACTTACCATATGCGCACGCAAGTCCCCTATCTTAGACACCACCTACAATTTTCATAACTCTCATTTTTTTTTCAAATCTACTTTGTTAAAATGTAAGCTAATAAATAAATAAATAAATAAAAAGTAAGAGATTTTAAATTTGGTTAGTTTTTTAAGTTTTAATTACTCTTCAGGTGGAATATTCTTTGACCTTTTAAATCTGTCAATTCTGTTTAAACTACACCCAATATTTGGGAAAAAATCTGCATCCGATTCTGATTCTGATTCAGGCGATGATTCTGATGATAATGTTAGTGGTGGAGTTTCTGGTTGAAGTGGAGATGGATTTACTTCTTCTTCATGGAAATCAGGAATGATCTCCATTAATTCAGTAACCTAAAAAAATTAAATAATGATAAATAATTAAATTAATAAATAAAAATTTAAGTGGTATTGTAGAAAACGGAAAAAATACCTCTTCGTCGCTTATATCAATGATGAGGATGTCATGATCTGAATCTGATTCCACATCAGATTCAGAATCGCTACTGAGGATAACGGTAGACGCCTGGCTGTCGTAATATTCCTCATCGTATACTGTTATTTGCAATAATTCTGCAGGCATTTCGTGGTCGGATTCGTCATCCATTTTCTAAACAAATTTTTAAAAATTAAATTAAATTAAAGACTTTAATCAATTAAACTTCACTACAAATACAATAAAAGAATTAAATATAATATAATTAAAAAAACTCAAGTGAATACTGTACTTTGAATGAAGACAAAAGTGAGAAAAGTTGAAAATATCAGAGCTAATCCTGTTTCCACTCTGCTTGAGTGCAAGTTTACTTCTGAATCACAGCTCTTCTCTCTCTCCTCTTTCTCCGTGTGAGCTGACTTCTAATTCGAGTCCGGCCTACTTTCTCCCTCTTCGCAAGAACTCACTTTCATCTACTTGCTCGAACCCCGCCTATTTTCTTTCTCTCCACACTTGTATCCTCCCTTTATTTAAATCTCTATGTAATATAATTGAAATCACTCTAAAATGATTTTATATGCATTTATATTAAATACAATTATGAGAAAGCAAAATATTAAAAAGGTGACTAAATGACGGATTTTAGAAAACAAATAATCAAATAAGAGAATCTAAATATTTAACTAAACCTTTAAAAGCATTACAAAAATTAAAAAAAATTATAATTGAGCAAAAAACATATTATAAAGAAAAATGAGTCAAAAAACGTTGAAAAAAGGTGGTACAAACAAAACTACAAATGAAGAGAAACAAATTAAAAATATAAATATTATTATTATTATGCAAATGAAAAAGAATATTATTTACATAATGAATGGTTTTTAAACATTAATTTTTAAACATTAGCTAGCAAACATTTACTGAAATGTGTTTTTTATGAAGAAATAAAAACACATATGTACCATTCTTGAAAACATGCACAAACAAACAAGCAAACAAAATTTATTATTATAATTATTTCATGCAGAAACAAAAGCGTAAATAAAAGGGTGTTCAATAATAAATTTAAAAATAACATAAATAATATTGTTGAATTGTATACAAAAATAAAAAAAACTGAACTCATTTTGCTAATACATAGTTAGGACCGAATTACTTTTTAAAAAAAAGAAACATTAACTAAACTTTTTTTTTTTGTTACTCTTTACATATAAAAAAATATTATTATTAAGAAAAAATAAACTTTTTTTTTTTTTGCTACTCTCTCTAGCATAAACAAAGTTCCTTTAAAAAATATAAAACGTAAACAAAACTTTTCTTTGGTACTATTTACCTAAAATGAATATTATTAAGAAAAACTAAACTCTTTTTTTTGCTAGGGAGTAGTATAAACAATGTTCCTTTAAACAAAAAAAGCTCTATAGCTTACACTAAAAATACACTAAAAATACACTTAAAACCCACATAATAAAATCCTTTTTTTTTCACTGCTGTATTGCTTAAACAATTATATAGTTTTCCATTTTTTGCTACTCTCTCTAGCATAAACAAAGTTCCTTTAAAAAATATAAAACGTAAACAAAACTTTTCTTTGGTACTATTTACCTAAAATGAATATTATTAAGAAAAACTAAACTCTTTTTTTTTTGCTAGGGAGTAGTATAAACAATGTTCCTTTAAACAAAAAAGCTCTATAGCTTACACTAAAAATACACTTAAAACCAAAACTATATTTTTCTTTGTAACATTTTTGTTTTTACGGGAGTGGTTTTGATGGCATTTCTATTACATCTTCCTTATTTTCTTGTGCTAAATTTGCCACAACGGGAAATTCATACTCCTGGATAATTTCTTCAGACATATTAAAAATTTCGTCTATTGTGACTGCCTCTTCAAGAGCTAACAAATCTCCTGCAGTTTCTAAATCTTCTTGTCCAAATAGTTCTTCAAACAGTTCATCATATCGGAAATCGTCCACTGGTTGGCTCACTACTTCCGATGTAGAATTATTTGAAGAACTATTTGGATTTGCAGACTGTCCTAAAAGTTCTTCATATCGGAAATCGTCCACTGGTTGGTTCACTACTTCCGATGTAGAATTATTTGAAGAACTATTTGGATTTGCAGACTGTCCTAAAAGTTCTTCATATCGGAAATCGTCCACTGGTTGGTTCACTACTTCCGATGTAGAATTATTTGAAGAACTATTTGGATTTGCAGTCTGTCTTAGAAGTTCCCTAGGAGTTGGCTGATAAACTTCTGCTTGTGTGTTTAACACTTCGATGAACCTTGGTACGTCCCATCGAGTCCAGCGATATGTAACATTTTTTGGTACATACTCCTCAACCTGAGGTTGCAGCTGCTGAAAAAAAACATTATACATTTATATTTTTCTTACCTATGTGAAGTATCTCATTGTCAATAATAAACACACTATTTCACTCACTTGTTGAATTCTCAGATGATTAAGAAATTCCTTCCTGCAATGAATGCATTTACAGTACACACTGTTTCCACTCACTTTATCCATTGTTGTTTTTCTTTTTTTGTTGTTCGGTTATTGTTCTAATAATACAGTAGCTGTCGTTTCTCTACTGATCAACCGTTGTGAAAGATGGCGTCTCCTTCTCCAAAGTTCGTATATAAGAGGCGCAGGTATAGCAACGCCAAGGTAGAGAAACAACAAGGTTAGGTAAATCAACAGTGCAGTCTGATTGGCAGTTGCTAGTAGAAACACTTTGGTTGACCAATCAGTGTTCGTTAATAGAAAACTTTAATGTCACACTCACAGCTCTGTGCAGGCAGCATACAAATTTGAATTTACTGTCTCTTTCACTCTAATTGACTTTCTCTCTTACTCTAATTGCTGCCTGCATAGAGCTGTGAGTGCGACATTAAAGTTTGCCTAGTGACAACATATGTGTTGCCAATATTGAAAACCGTTGGTAAATTGGAAGAAAAAACAAAAATAGTTGCAGCCTCATCAAACGTTTCTCCTTTTTAATTAGTATAAAAATTAATTTCATTTATACCACAGGGAATATATACCAATATTAACGTACAATTTAAAAGTACTAAAAAAAACAACTTTGCATAAAGATTAAAAAAAAATATTTCACACACCAAGAGATTATAAATAAAGAAACAAAAATTAAAATTCAATAGTGCCACCATCTATAGGAGGTTACCTAAAATATTTTTTGTGATTTAGGTGTTAAATTCAAAATTGCCCCTTCTAACGCACTTGAAAAATAAAAAATACCCCACCAAGGGGGTTTCAATGCTTCAAAAATAAAATGGCTCCATATAGAGGTGGCAGCCGGTACTAAAACTCGGTCGGTAATTTTAAGCGCGAAATTTTAAAATAACACCACAATCAAGAGACTTTCAATTTGAAAATAAAAATTCAAATGCCCCAACAAGGGGGTTTGAATTGGACTACAAATAAAATGGCGCCATCTCTCAGTGTCAACCTGAACTAAAATCGGTTGGTAATTTTAGGCGCCAATTTTTAAAATAACACGCCCACCAAGCCACTTGAAAATTTGAAAAATAAAATTTAAATACCCTACCAAGGGAGTTTCAATTGAGCGGTGGCAGCCGGTACTAAAAACTCGGTCGGTAAAGTAGAGCACCCCTTCTAAGCCACTTGAAACTTTGAAAAAAAAATTTAATACCCCACCAACGGCTTTTAAGTTGAGCAAAAATTCAGTGGCGCCATCTAGCGGTGGCAGCCGGTACTAAAAACTCCGTCGGTAAGGTAGAACACCCCCTCTAAGCCACTTGAAAGTGCGAAATTAAGAAATCTACCTTACCGACTGTAGGTAAGTGGTCCAGAAGTCTCCTAGCTCTACTACTTTAATGAATTTTTAATAAAAAAAAGAAATTACCTTCGACGGCGGAGAATTATCGAACTGTGAATCCAAGGACCGTCTACTGCTCTTTCTTTCTTCTCGGTTGTCATCGATTAAAACCTCTTCCACTGATCTACGTTTCTGGCTTAAATTTTCAAGGCTGTTTGGCTCTGGTTCATCAGCAACTCCTTTTTTAAGGGGTAGAAATCCTTTTTTCATTTCTTTGTTTGTTACAATTTGATCGTCAATTTGGATCAAGTGGCTCATATCAGGAATTTGAAGAATTATTGTAGAATGGTCGTTTTCACGAAGTCGGCCTTTTGCTTCGAAATGAGCTCCTCTTTTTAAATTACAGTTTTTCTCCATAATTGTGATGTTCACTGGAAGGCGGTATCAGAGGTCTGTCAACGCTCCACTACCGTACGTAGAGTTTCCATTCACAATTTTAATAATTACACCTAAAAAAATATTTTTTAAAATATCCATATTTCAAAATAAAATAAACAAAAAAAATAATAATTAAATAATTTAATTTAATTAATTAAATTTAACTTTAATTTATTAATTATTTTTTATTATAATAATTAATTAATTTAACTTTATTATTATTAATTCATAATTTATTTATTTTTAATAAAATTTTATTATTATTATTTAATTATAATTGTTTTTTTTAATTTTAATAATGTAATAATTTAAATTATATTTAATTAGTTAAATAATTTAAAACTAATTGAGAATAAACAGTTTTACTGAATGAAAAAGTAAAAGACATTTTTTTATTTTAAAAGAAAAGAAAGACAGATTTCTCTTTTAATTTTTGCAAATAAAAAATTTTAGTTTTTTTTAATTTTTAAATAAAAAAAGAAATGAAGTTTTAAAGAAAAGAAAAACATTTTAGCTATTCTATTACCTAAGGTCATGTTATTCAGTGGTCACGTGCCCCATATACTTTACTATAGGGCACGTGACCACTGTATAACATGATCTTAAAAACGTTTTAAGATATTTCAAATTTATAAGAATAACAAAAATTGAATAAAAATTTTAAAAAATCAAGAACACTATAACCAAAAATATTTAAAAATTTTTACAATAAAAAATAAATTTTATTTAACAAAATTAAAAATATTTTAGCTATCTATTTTATTACATTAAAAAAAATTAATTAATATTTAAGATCTTACTTACATTTTTCCCTACATTTAAACCGGCATTTCGGAGTTCCACGGGTTCATAAGTTATAGTCGACACAGGAGAAACGGATGGCATATCCCCAACAATTGTAAGAGTGGTATGGGGTTGAATTGAAATTTCGATGCCCAAAACATTTTCATTTGGACGCACGTACCGAGGATTCGCCTTGACTACAACTCCTCCTGAGATTTTGACGATCTAAAATTAAAAAAAAGAAAACAAAAGAACAAAATTAATGATTAATTTTTTAAAGATACAACGCATAGTTTGGGACACCCGAATTTTTTAGCGTCTATGGCTTCGTAGAGTCTCCAGTAGCACCCCCATAAAGTTTTTTTTGATAGATATTTATAAATAAACAATTTAGAGGGAAAAACCATAAGACCACATACTTTGAGGACATGAGTCACATAGCATACTTTAAGGACGTCCCTAAACTATGCTATAGATCTAGTAAAAAGTTTACGACGGTCTGGTCTTCAAACTACACCGAAAAAAATGCCTAGGACCCGTATACCAGGAATTGACTAGGTTTCCTAGTTACGAGAGGAGCCAACTATAGAATCCTGGTCAAAGTAATAAGATTCAAGCATAGTTAAAGTGACCAGGAAAATTAGTCGATGTAATCAGGAAAAAATAGTCAAATTGATTAGGAGAATAATATTAGATTTACACTGTGTATCATAATTATTTGAAATTGCTAATCAAATTCTTATTATCAAATAAAAGAGAAAAACTAATTAAAAGAAAAAAGAAAAAAATTAATTATTGTATTTGAACATATTTATATTTGACTTTGTATTTATATACCTTAGAATTAATTTAAACTTATGAAATAGATATTTGACGCAGGGGGGACCCGAACACCTGAACCTAACGAATACGCACTTTGAAACCCGGAACGATAACCACTACACTAAACACGACTTGGTATTTTAATTTTTTAATGGACACTAGATTTTCGAGTCAAAATACAATACTTAATCAGATGATGTTTTATACATTACGAGTACACAATTTTATACACTTGTCAAAAACTGTTTATTTTTAATTATTTATGACATTCAAATCAAAATAAATTTAAATACACAAATTATTGCAAAGGTAAATTTTCAAACACACTGCGCGATTAAAATAGTAAAAATGTTGTCACCACGCGCGTAAAAATTTCGACGATTTATATTGAAACCTAACCAAAAAAGTCTGAAAGAATTGACTAATATAATTAAATAGTTTACTTTCTAAAACATGGACTATCTATATTTCCCGAGGTTCCGAGAAACCATCAATTTTGATGTATGTAAGAACTCCATTTTATGTACAAAGAATAGACGCGAGTAATGATAAAAAATCGTTTTACGAAATCACGATAAATGACGCGAAAGATATAGAGGTAAACACTGTCAGAACAGAAGCAGACGCGTGCGCATTATGGAAATAGGCAAAATTACTAAAATCCTAGTCAATTTGACAAGGATTTGCAGGGTTGTTTTTGCCAGGCTTGAATTTGTTGAATCAACCTAGCGATCCCAACCATAATGATTAGGAATCCTTATTGCTTTTACTAGATTAAGATTAACTATAGAGTCATAGTTAATAATACCATCGAGTTTTTTTTCGGTGTATGCGTTAGACATTTACGCTGTTCATATATAGAAGGCATAGTTTGAAGACCAGACAATCGTAAAATTAATAGATCTATAGCATAGTTTGGGGACGTCCCTAAAATATGCTATGTAGCTCATGTTCTCAAAGTATGCCATCTATTGGTTTTTTCTCTCATGTACGGTGAGCAAAATTTGAATAGAGAAAAATAATTTCTTTTTTCAAAATTACAAAAGTCAAGTCGCAAAGTTACTTTATGTTCTGCAACAAAGTACATAATTTGAAGACGAAACAAGTAAATTTTTAATTACATAACTACAAAGGATAAGACCTCAAATATATGTTGGGCACAAAAATCCTTCATATAATCGTAAAAAGTGATATATAAAACACAATATTTATATAGAATGTGCATAATTTGAGTACAGAAAAATACTTTTCTTTTACAAAATTACAAAGGCCATGTCCACAAAGTATGCGTTAAACCGGAAGACCCACTGTAAAAAATTTTTTGGGGAAAATTCCCAAAAAGTCTGTTGAGGGAATCGACACTATACTTTTTGTGAATATTCCCCACAAGTTTTGGGGAAAAAATTTCCCTAATAAATTGTTGAATATTTCCTAAGATTTTTTGGTGAAAATTACCTAAGACTTTTTGGGAAGAATTTTTTCATAAAATTTTTGTGAATATTCTCCATATTTTTAGTAAAACTTTTTTCCAAAAATTTCCTAAATATTCCCCAAACTCTAAGGAAAAATTTTTTTTCAATCATTGGTTGAAATTTCCCCGAAATTTTTGGGAAAGTATGTCCCAATGAAAATTTTCCTAATAATTTGAAAATTTTTCCTTTTTATAAATTTTACAATTAAGAATAAATTTTTCCAAGATTTAAAAAAATAATTGTACTGCATAGAGATTCTTTTTATTCCAGATAATATTTTTTATTACAAAACTGTTTT